ACTGAGAACCCTGTGGAGCACATTTCTACTCTGACACACACGGGGCACCATGAGTGGAATCTACTTATGAAAAGTCATCCACTGAGAACCCTGTGAGGCACAGTTCTACTCTGAGACACACAGGGGCACCATGAGTGGGATCTACTTGAGGGCAGCTGGCCATAAGGTGCTGCCCAGGAAACCTTTGAAGTTCCAGTGGGACAAAGTATGAATACTTCTGTGGCCAGTGGTTGCAGTCTATCCTGAAGAACTTCAGAATAAAAGATTGCTGGACAGAACTTGAGAATAAAAGCCTGCTGGTCTACTTCTGACCTCCCTCCCACGCCTCCATTCTCACCCAAGTGTGCTGGACTGCAAAGTTGATTTGAACAGCAAGGCCAGCACGTCAAGCTCACCAGCGGCTGCGCGGAACCCCTCTACAGGGTCACTATGAGTCGGAACCAACTCAATGGCACTTAGCAACATTAAGGGAAATGAGATTCTAGTGTGGCGCTGTAGGATGAGTGCTGCATAGCTAACCACAAAGTCGGCAGTTCAAACACCAGCTGCTCCTCAGAAACCCTATACAGGCTCACTGAGTTATATCTGACCCGACAGCAATTAACAACAACCCCAATTAGGGTAACAATAACATTAGTGAGGTACTCATTTCTTAACATTATCAACCATTAGAGAAGAATAGGCAAGCATTTACCCAGGAACCAAGTTTCTAAGGGTTGGGAAAGGAGGAGGACTGGAAACAGGAAACACAGGAAGTGGGAGCCGTGATGTTACAATGGGGAAGATAATCACCCATGAGACGAAATACCATGTGTACGAATTGTTCCATGGAAAACAGATCTGGTCTGTTATCCTCCCCCCAAATCGCCATAAAACATTAAAAACAAAACCAAACATAAAACTCCTATAGAGCACAGTTCTACTCTGACATGAATAGGTGGTCCCACAGTGGATCCGGTGGCAAGAGGTTTGGGGTTTTCTGAAAGCTGTGAGGCATGTTAAGTCATGGCCGACTGAAAACACAGCTAAACCCAGCCGGACAGGAACAGGAGCCCTGCCAAGGAGCATCTTTACCTTGTGGAGGTCTGTTCCAGATAGCAATCTGAACTCAAGTCCCCCAGAAGTCTCACAAAAGGCAGGGACCGATTCGAAAGCCCCCAATCTCCATTGGCTGTGTGTATACGTAGACCCTGGGTGCACACCACATTTAATTTGCTCCATCAAACAAGTTCTCGAGGAAGAAAAAATACCAGATGGATTCCCGCTCTTTCGCCCCCCAAACCAAACAAAACAAATCAGACGGATAACTATGTGCACAAAGCATTAGAAAATACTGTGATATTTTATTATTAAAAATGCTGCTGAAAAGTTTATACATATGTTTCCAGCCATATAGATCTTCTATCATTACTTAAGGCAAAATCAAAAACAAAATTGCAAAATAATAACACCCAGAAACCCATTAAACCCTGCGTGCCTTGAAAGGTTAAGAATAAAAGCCTAGGAAAGTCTGTCTCTCTCTCTCTCTTTTTTTTTTTTTCCTGTTTTCTTCTTTTTTTTTCATTTTTATTTTAAATAGATAGCAAGTGTATTTTCTTCTCACAGATGTCTATGAAGATTTTCGGACTCCTTCCCATGTAGAAATGTCATTTAAGATGTATTAAATTGCTTTTGATCAACCTTCTGTAAAAGCTAAAAGTTATGCGCTTAACAGAAAATTTGTTTTTCTCCCCTTTTCCAAACGTCACAAGCCTAATGCAATGCTGTACATATTGCTAGCAGAATACAATTGGGAATACGAAACGGATACTGGAAAACTCACATAACAAACATACTTAAGCAACACTGAAGGGGGTCTTCACTCCATTGGTCATTTCATTGAGAGCCCTCGTGGCTGTAGGTAACCGACATAGCTTGTAGAAATGGAATGGTCATAGCTTGGAATGAACAATGAACTGTGGGAGAGATGTTCTTGTTGGCTAGCCCTCACTTCGCAGTGGGCTAAATTGGGACCGTCATATCCCACACATATATTTACAGAGATTGTCAGATGTGATCCAAGATACACAGCAGGGTTGGTTATAACACTCTGACAGATTGCTACAAATTCTTTTTTCTAGAAGGGGCTCTTCAAAGACTTGGATGGATGACAACACTTTTAGACTAAATATTTGTTATCAAAGATGGTTGTTGCAAAGTTATGAAGGAGCTGGGGGTTTGGGGTGGGGGGAGGCGAGGAGAGGGGTTGCAAAGAGCTGACGGGAACACCTTACACCTTGCTTAATTGAGTCATCTCAATGCAGACTGGGTTTCTGGAATTAACAGCATTGAAACCCGACGCTTGAATCTTCAAATATCTTTGGCCACTACTTCTTGGTGCTAGAGTCATTGTTGAAAAACAAAATACAAAGTCACCCTTATGATTTCTCCTCCACAGAACATTCTTCAGGACGATTGAAAAGAAAATGAAAAATTTACAAAGTGCAAGAGTAACAAGTGGTATTGTGCAGTTTACCAGATGTGAACAAGCGAACAACTGCCATGTGTAATCTTGACTAGACCTAGCCTGCTGCACATTCCTAATCATGGGTCTACCCACGTGTTACACACTAGCACTGCTCCACACCCTGCTCTTGGCTCTCATCTCTGCAGAAGTAGTTTATAAACCTTTCTAGGGTGGTGCAGATAATTAAGTAGAGATACTATAGAAGAAAAGCCTGGAAATCAACTCGAAAAATATCACAGCCATAGGAAACCCCAGTGGAGCACAGTTCTATCTTGTAACATCTAGGGACATGTCAGGATCAACTGGAAAGCAATGGTGTCCAGGAATGGTGCCAACATTGAAAGGTGGAGGTTCAAGTCCACCAAAAGGTGCCTTGAAACAAAGGCCTGGTGATCAATGTCCAAAAATCCAGCCAATGAAATCCCTACAAAGTGAAATTCTACTTGGACACACATGGGGGCTTCATGAGTCGAAATCGACTCATCAGTAACTTGATTTTTTTTTTTTTTTTTTTAGCCTTATCACTTTATCTTAACAGTGGTGGTGGTGGTGGTGATGTGCCGTGGAGTCGGTTCCGACTCATAGCGACCCTGTACAGGGTTTCCGAGGCTGTGAATCTTTACGGGAGCAGAAAGCCTCATCTTTCTCCCGTGGAACAGCTGGTAGTTTTGAACTGCTGACCTTGAGGTTCGCAGCCGGATTTGTAACCACTAGGTACTGAATTTTTCTAAAAACCTGATGCACATTTCATGTCATGTTTTTTTGTCTTTCTTTTCTTTTCTTTATTTCTCATTCTTCTTCCTTTTGCTGTTCTATGCATTAATTGGCGATAGCCACATCAATCCATGTGGATGGATTATGCCTTCCAGAGAAATATATATTGTATCCCACAAACAGTATAAAGGACTGAAATATATTTTTAAAAATGAAAACAACAGAAAACCTGCTTATGGTTAACTAAGGGATGGATCGGTGAATCAAATAAGGTTCAGCCCACGTCCTTCTTCAATCTGATTAGCAAAACTGGGCAAAAACTGGGTCCGCCAAAGCCTTGTGCAGCTGCGGGGGAACACAGCTGGATTGAGATGGCTGGGCACAGCTACAGCTATCCCAAAGCAAAATTCCTTTCCTTTTGGTAGGGCTCTGAGGTGGACACGACTCTTCCTAAACAGATTTTAAGAACCACAACTACAAAATTAGACCTGTATTTTCTTTCCCCTCCCCCCTCCCCCATGATTTGCCCTCACGTTGTTCTGTTTGTGTGCATGTCTCTCATTCAACAAGCTTTCCATACATCCCACGATGGGGACACAACTTTTGTGTTGCAGCTCCTTGAAGGAAGGCTACCGCACACAAATGAAATGAAAAGTTTCCTAACGCAAGGGTCTCCTAAGAACACCTTTACATGCGCAGGCATGACCGGAAGGAGGAATTCCACGGGTCACCTGGATGGTCCCGGGTCTTGCACACAGCCCTGCGTCCTCCTACAAATGGGATGAGCTAGAAAACCCTGGGTCTTTGCATATCACAAGGAATGAAGAATTAAAGTCTCCTTTGTCTGAGAGAAAACAGAGGCGATATGATGAACGGATAGAGATTTTATATACATACAGCGTACAACCAAAAGCCCTACCTTGCTAAGAGTTCCTCCAAACTTAAAACACCAATAAAAGCTTTGTTGTGTTTTGTTGTATTCTCCTGTGTGTGTATGTGTTGAAACTCACAGCTATATACATTTTTATTTTTACAAAGTTTCTTAAATAGAGTTCAGGCTGGCAAACCATCTCTTTGCACTATACGTTATTTGACGACATGGTCATTTCTTTTAATTTTTATAAGAAAATTCTACTTTTCCTTCATTCTGGATTGTAGTTCCATATACTGGGTAAAGCCCATAGACTCTTTCTTCATTTACGTAGAATCCATCCATCATTCTACGCCACATAAAGAACTTTTTATTATTTTCCCATTTTGATTTAAAAAACGAAAACAAAAAACAACCAAAAACAACACCTTTGTTTTTTAAATTTTCTTTCTTTCTTTTTTTTTTTTTAAGTGTCCCTGGGTGAGTTCTTGAAATGTCTGCTGATTTTGTGATGTTGGAGCTACCTTGGTAGTGGTTGGAGACACATAAGAATCACGGGGAGCGTCCGCCGTTGGGGTGGTGAAGATCTTAAAAGCAGTGTTCTTCCAGCAATGTCTCGTTTTCACATTTCACAGGGTCGGAAGTTGATGTCAGAATCCTCAGAAATTCCCAGGGAATGTGCCAGGAAGGAGCGAAGGACTACACTTCCTCATTCTGCCCTAAGTCAGTGTGATGGGAAACATTCTGTGGTGGGAGACATTCCTTCTTTCTTCCTTTATGTCTTGGTAAGTGGTGAAGAGGGAGGTCCAGGGAGGGAGAGGGGGCCGCTAAGCTATACTCTGGTGGTCGAGTGCCCGTGGGGTAAGTTGGTAGTGTTCTGCCCCCCACTGAAGGTGTTGAATGTGTGTAACGGCTGCATCCCAGAGAGTGTGTTTGGGATCATGGTGATAGTATTTGGTGTCATAAGTGGGATGTCATCCGGAGAGCGTCGCAGCGTGAGTGTGTAGTCCGGGGGACAGGTGAGCCTCAGGGTATCGTGGGCCTGTAGGGATTCACATTCATGGTCGTGCTCCAACTGTTTCATCTGCAGAGACATGATCTCTTCGTTCTGGATGTGGGCGATATCGTTGGTGTTGTTTCTCTGCGGGCTGGGTCTGCGGTGTGTCTCGTGGCGCCTCTTGTCCTTCTTATAATAGAGTGCGGCGAAAGCCAAGATGTTGAGGAACAGCAGGGACGCCCCCACGGCGATGGTGACGCTCAGCTCAGTGGAATAATCTCTCTTGGTTTCGATGAGGACCGTGGTATCCTCTGGGCCTGTCTTATGCAGATCCTTGGAGTGCTTGGGGTTGTTGGCAGGTGTGATGGCTGGGCGTTTGGTGGTGGGCCATATCTTTGCAGGCGATCGCCGGGTTCCGTAAGGAAAGGACGTCATGTCGGGAGGGGGGACCTTGGTGGTGGTGGAAACATACTGAAAGATCTCATTCAAATTGTGCAGATGAGGGACAAGTTCCAACCAGAAAGCCACTTTAGTTGCTCGGTAGTGGTCTCTCACTCGGGGCTTCAGGCCGATGTGCAGATACAGCTGGTCTTTGGGGTTGTACTTGGACCAGGCCACTTCCTCAAAACGATTGGGTTTGGTATGGATGAACTTAGTATCCTGTGGAACGGGTTGATTCGGGTCACTGGGGGCAGAAGAAAGAAAGAAAAGAGTCATATTGGACAAAGAAAGAAGAATTGCCAACCATTCACTGCATTTGCACATGAGGTGACACAACAGATTGGCTGCAAAGCCAAAGGTTAGTATTTGAGCCCCCCATTAGCAGCAATACGGAAGAAAGGGCTGGCAAGCTGTTTCTTCAAACGGTGTGGTGGTGGTGATGTGCCGTCAAGCCAGTTCCAGCTCATAGTGACCCAGCACAGGGTTTCCCAGACTGTAGATGTTTATGGGAGGAGAAGGTCTCATCTTTCCCCTGCAGAGTCACTGGTAGATTCGAACTTGTGACCTTGTGGTCAGCAGCCCAGTGAATAATCCACTACGTTATAGCACCTTACAATCAAGCAACCTGTGGGAGAGTTCTATACGCAGTGATTCAAAGTTGACATGAGTTGGAATTGACTTGAAGGCACGCAGCAATGATTGAGAACTTTACATCTTAAATAGCTTTTCTTTAACGTAGTAGGGTTCTGGTATGGAGCTGTAGGATCAGCACTGGACAGGTAACCACAAGGCCACGTTTTCAAACCCTCCTGTTCCTCCTTGGAAACCCTATACAGGGTGTTTAAGAGTCAGAACTGACTAGATGGCAGTTAACAACAATCCTTTATAATGAAAGAGCCCTAAGGAGCTCTGGTGGCGTAGTGGTTACGAATCGGGCTGCTAAACTCAGAGTCAGCAGTTCAAAACCACCAGCTGTTCCGTGGAAGAAAGATGAGGCTTTCTGCTCCCGTAATGATTGACAGCCTCGGAAACTCTATACAGGGTTGCTGAGAGTCAGAACTGACTGGATGGTTGTTGTTATTGTTGTTATGTGCCATGGAGTCGGTTCCAACATATAGTGACCCTGCACAGGGTTTCCGAAGCTGTAAATCTTCACAGGAGCAGAAAGCCTCATCTTTCTCCCATGGAATCATTGGTCGTTTTGAACTGACGACCTTCAGGTTAGCAGCCCGATTCATAACAACTACGCTACCCGAGCTCCTTGGCTGGATGGTAGTGGTGAATTATATACAATCAGGGGCCCTGGTGTCACTGTGGCTTAAGCAAACAGGCTGCTAACAGCAAGCTTGGCAGTTCAAACCCACCAGCTGCTTCAAGAGAGAAGGATGAGAGAGACTGTCTACTCTGATAAAGATTTAGTGTCGGAGACCCCGTGCAGCACTTCAGTTTTCTCCTAAAGGCGCTCCATGAAATGGAATTCACCTGAGGGTCATGGGTCTCATTTGGTTCTGGGTTCTTCTAGATACTAAAAGGAGTCCTGGTGTGGCGCTGTAGGGTCGGTTTGAACCACAAGATTGGAGGCTCAAACTCACGAGCGGCTCGGCTCCGTGGAAACCCTATACAGAGTCACTGAGTTGGAACCGGCCTCGAGCGTACTAAAACAACACCAATATACACCAAAAGGCGTTTTATGGCACGAGGGTTGCAAGTTTACAGCCTCGAAAACCCTAAGGGGCAGTTAGCTCTACTCTATCCTATATGAATCCTGTGAGACTGCATTCACTCCACAGTGCCCAGCACAGCTACAAAATACCCCATCCCCAACAGACACATTCTGCTTGACTCCAAAACACACCCACCATCTCCTCTTTTTCTGGAAATGCCCCCTATCTGGGTTTTAAAGATAAATCCTGCTGGCAAAGGCGGTTCATCGTTCATATCAATGTTTCTATTTATTTGTGGATCTGTGCCGTGCTGCGTCAGGAATTTTGTGGGCATGATGTTTCAGCGCTCGGCAGCTAACTGAAAGGTTAGCGGTTCAAACCCACCAGTCGGTGCATTGGAGAAAGCTGTGGCTGTCTGCTGTCTAGAGAAAGGGGCAGCTCTGGTCAATGAGTATGTCGCTAGCAGTTGGAATCGAGTTAGCAACAGTGGGTGTTTTTTAACCACAGTGCCCTAAAACAATGAAAAAGGAAAACGAAATGCTGCCAGGGAAACCTTCTAGTATTTCAGGTTTACTTATGTTCATGTAATGGACGTCAACCAGAGGATGTACATGTCTACCCCAAACCCAAGGGATATTTGGCAGCGTCTGAAGATACTTTTGGACTCCTGGTCTGGCGCTGCAGAATCAACACTGGACTGTAAACCCAAAGATTGGCAAATCAAACCCCCAGATGCTCCTTGGAAACCCTATACAGTGTCACTATGAGTCACAACCGACTCAACTGCGCTTAACAACAACAACAACAAAAGACATCTGGGCTTGTCCAGGTTAGATAAAGGGCTGTTCATGGTCTCACCTGGGTTGAAGTCTGTGATTCCGCTAAACAGCCCACACAGCACAGGATGATGACCCCTTCACAATAAAAAAGAACCACTCAGCTCCGATGTCTAGAGGACCAAGATGGCCAAAAGCTGACCTAGAAGCTATTTGTTGGAAACGTGGGCATTCTCTTTCCTCACTGGAGAATCACTTTCGAAGCAAAGGAAGAGATGTCTCACGTTTCATAAACCACATAGAGGCCAAGCCAACCAAACACAAAGACGTCTTGACTTTGCAGAAGGATCGTGCATAGAGATACATATATCATTACTGAGCTCCATTTGAAGGGGGGGAAAAAATACTTTCCGTCAGAAAGAAAACAAAACGAAACAGAATAACTATCAAATCCTTCTTGAAAATATTTTGTAGTCCGAACAGGGAAATGTGAAACAGTATTTGAAGAAGATTTTAAATATTTACTGATGACGATCAAAGAGCACACACCCTTCGGTATGGATTACATCTCAATGTCAAGAAAACAAAAATCCTCTCCACTGGACCAGTAAACAACATTCTTATCAATGGAGAAAAGACTGAAGTTGTCAAGGACTTCATTCTTCTTGGATCAACCATCAACACTCATGGAAGCAGCAGTCAAGAGATCAGGCGACGTATTGCATTAGGCAAATCTGCTGCACAGGAACTTTTTAAAGCGTTGAACAGCAAAGATGTCAGCTTGAAGACTAAGGTGTGCCTGACCCAAGCCATGGTATTTTCAATAACCTCATATGCATGCGAAAGCTGGACAGGAATAAGGAAGACCAAAGAAGAATTGATGCTTTTGAGTTATGGTGTTGGAGAATATTGAAAGTGCCATGGACTGCCAAAAGAACCAACAGATCTGTGTTGGGAGAAGTGCAGCTAGAGTGCTCCTTGGAGGCAAGGATGGTCAAACTTTGTCTCTCATACTTTGGACATATTGTCAGGAGGGAGCAGTCGCTGGAAAAGGATATCATGTTGGGTAAGGTGGAGGGTCAGAGAAAAATAGGAAGACCCCCAACGAGATGGATTGGTCAGGTGGCAGCATCAATGGACTCAAGTGTGGCAACAGTAGTGAGGTTGGCCCAGGATCAGGCAGTGTTTCATTCTGCTGTGCATAAGGTCGCTATGAGTTGGTACCGACTCGATGGCATCTAACAACAACAACAACAACAACTGTAAAAGGTTTTATATCCTAGAGCTTTAGGTCGAGAGTCCTGAGGATAAAGCAGTTAAGTGCTCCATTGTAAATGAAAACCTCGGTGGTTCAAACGCACCCAGTGAGTCTGCAGAAGAAAAGCATGGCAATGTGTTCCTGTAGAGATGACAACCTAGGAACCCCTCCGGGACACTCCTACTTGATCACACAGAATCGCCACAAAGTCATGGGTCAAGTCAATAGTTGTTGCTAAGTGCCACTGAGTCGGTTCCAAATCACAGTGATCCTGTATAGGGTTTCCAAGGAATGGCTGGTGAGTTTGAACCACCGACCTTGTGGAGCTCTATTACACAGTGCCATATAGACACAAAGTAAGTCATTCCCGTGTCTTACCAACCTCTATCCAAGCAAGGACTTCAGGTCTCCATCTGAGACAGCCACAGTGACAAAGAAATCATTTCCATGCATTAAGAGTATAGTCCCTTCTCCTCCCAGCTATGAAATCTCTTGACTGCATTAAATATTTTAGCCTGTGTTGGCTTTGTCTTCCTATCTACAGCCAGTCAGCATGGATTCAAACCTAACTCCTGGTAACCCCTGTGAATCGGGGTATCTGTGTTCCATAGGGTTTTCAATGGCTACTTTTTTCAGACACCTGTCCCTAGACCTTTCTTCCAAGGTCTCTGGGTGGACTTGAACCTCCGACATTACGTTTAGCAGCTGAGCAACTCAACCATCCTCCCCACCCTCATAGGATCTCCTCATCTATACTGTGGATGAGAAGGCTGACCTCAGGGGTAATTGGTGAAGGCCAAGGAAAATCCACAGAAATGAAGAGACTACTCTATGTTGTAATCTTTTTTAATTAATCCTTTTTTAATTAATCCTCTTCACTCAACGTAGTCATTTCTTGTGTCTCCTTGGTGTCAAGTCAAATCGGACACACAGGGAACTCCTAAAAATGGACTGAAGCAGCTACACTTAAGAAACCCAAGCTGTCTTGGCACACAAGGAAAAGTTTTCATCCAAACTGAATATATACTAGTCACCGAGGCTTTATTTTGCTAACAGGATTCAGAAGCAAACCGACTCCTTCATAGGAGAGAGGTAATAATACTAGGAGCTTCCTTATCTGCGTGTGTGCGCATTTAATCTGCATTTGTAGACAGAATCCTCACTATCTTTGAAAACCAAGCTGATTTTTAGCTCCTATGTTTTGGCTGCTTCTATGTTTAGGAGTCCTGGTGTAGAATAACCACAAGGTTGGCAGTTCAAACCCACCAGCTGCTTCTTGGAAACCCTATGCAGACTCACTATGAGAAGTGATTCTATGGTACAGAACAATGCCACAGAATGGTTCGGAGAACATACTGAATTTAATATTGTTTCTCAGAATTCTTAATTTTTAGCTTTATTTATTTATTTTTGCATTAATAAACTATTTTTATCGATTGGCCATTTTCATGGGTTCATCTGTGCTTCATTCTAATTGTATTAGAAGAGATGAAAGGTAGCAAGTTTTCTAGTATTTATCATTTTATTCTGCCTTGTTTTTAACATT